GCATGACCTAATGCTCTGGACGAGAGGAGGGGAGCAGCTTGAACCCCGGGGTCCGGGGTGTGGGGTCCCGGGTTCACAGCCGGTGCCCTTTTCTCCTGGAGCAGGAGGCAGGGGAGGGCCGGCCCCTCTGCTCCTGCTCGGGCTCCCATTTCGCACCCTGAGAAACGTCAGAAGGTTGCTGGCTCCGTGTCCCTGGCCTAGAATCCAAACTCACCAGCTTGGCAGGGAAGGGCGGCAGCAGCAGGACAGCCGGCCCGCCGCACCCAGGCCTCCCCCACGCCCACGAAAGGACAGGGAATGGAGGCCCACCCTCCTTCTGGGCCGGCCGCCCACCCTCACCCGGGCTGTGGTCCCGAGGCCACCCACGTGCCCCGCAGGGACTTCCCCTGGCAGTCCGGGAAAGCACAGGTGGGCTGGCTGGTGGGGGGAGGCCAGGAGGAGCCCCAGGGGTTTCCAACCAGGAAACAAAACCGAAAGGACGGACCCAGCCCCTAAACCATCACAAGCAGAGGGGAGCTGCTACAGGGTTCCCAGCGAGAGAAGGTGCGGGAAGACCCAGGAGTAGGGCGGGCTGGCTGAGCAGGCATTGGGTGTGAACTCCCAGACCTTCCTGTCCCCAAGCTACAGCGGGGGGCCCACTCCCGGGCTCTGGCTGCTCAGAGGGAGAAAACAAGCTCTTGGGGGACAAGGGACTCAAGGTAGCATCCCTCCTCCCCAGCATGAGGCTCACGGAGGAGCCCTGACCCTGGGGCCAGCCACCCACTCCTCCAGCCAGCTAATAGGCTCCTGCCACCCAGACCACCCGCACGGCAGGGTCACCTGAGGAAGGGGCCCACTGGGCCAGGAATCTCTGCCTCCACTCTACTGCCTGGAGGCTGTGGGGAAGGTACGAAACAAAAGGAGGTCAGTTCCTGTGGGGACACGTCTCTCTGGATCCTTGACAGCCTGGGCTGACCTTTGGGGTATGGCCAGTCAACACGCACTCAGGGACAGGCTACCCCAAAGAAGGCCGAGGACAGAATACTAGGGATGGGTCCAGACTGGGGGCAGGGGCAGAGGATAGGGCTGCCACCAAGTGGAGGGGTAGCTCCCCTCACCGCGGACAAGACAAAGGCTCCAGGGCTGAGCACCAGCCACTCCCCACTGCCAAGGGCCAAGGGGAGAGGGGAGAGGGTCATGGTCACCAAGTCAGGCCCCGTCTCCCCTTCTCCCTTCCATACTTAACGGGACCCAGCCTGTCCTCTCAGCGCCGGGGTCTGGACACCCCTCCTCAGAATATCCAGCCCAGCCACCTAGCAAGGAAGCCCTTCCCCTCCAACCACAGCAACAGCCGGGGCGCCCCGGCCCCTCTTCCCCAGGAGAGCGCTTTTTTTCCTACCAAGGCAAATAAAGGCACCGCAAACCAGGAAAGTTAGAAAAGTCTCTTTTTAAGTCTTTAAATTAAAATTTCACCCTGGTGAGATGATTGATTTGGGAACTAAATCCAAAGGCAAGCTCTCCACTCTGTCACCCACTCAGACGGGACGCACAGCGGGAGAGGCAGGGTGGCCGTGGAGAATCGGGTCCCCCGGCTAGGCAGAGCCTGGGCCTTTGACCCAAGCCGGCTCCTTAGTTCCGCACAAGCCCCGCACATCCAGCTGGAGATGGGGGGACCCCGGGAGCTGCGGGGCCGCTGAGGAAGCCGGGGTGGGGAGAGCGCCCCATGGCGAGGAGGCCTCCACCCCTCCGGCCGCCGCGCATTTCTGGGAGCCCCTGCCGCCACGGAACTCCTTGGAGTGGCTCCACGGGGGTCCTCTTCTGATTCCAGAAGGCATGACCTTTGAGGGGAGGCAGCTAGCAAGACACCTGGCCCCCAAGCACCTGCCCCGGCACCAGGGGTGGAGGGAGGGGTGCTGGCCCAAAGGGGAGGACGCTCCAGCCCTTCCCTGCTGACCCCGACCAGCCAGCTCCATTCTCACATACATTAGTTACATTTATATATTTATATATTATAGTTATATATTAAAAAGAGAAAAAACTTGCCTGAAGAGAAACTCCTGAAGGACCCAAGTGGCTCAGGAAGTTTACTAGCCCCGCCCCCCCCACAACAATTCTTTTTATAAAATCTTCCAGTGCGATCTTCAGGAAACCCCCGCCCGCCCCAGCTCCCCCCACCCTGGCCCTCCTGTGTCTCCGCGACCCTGGGCTGCCCCCCAGCTCCAGCCCAGCGCCTGGCAGCATCCAGTGTCATCTCTGGCCATCCATGGCGGCCATGGCTTTCTGCTGGGAGCCCCCCTGCTGTGCTCCGGGGGGCCACGTGGGCTGTGGGTGGTGCAGGTGGTGGAAGCTGTGGGCCGTGGGCGAGGAGGGTGGGATCCAAGCGGCCTGGTGGCCAGGGGGGGACGAGGCCCAGAAGGGGCTGAAGTTTGCAGGGGGGGAGCAGGCCACGGCCGTCATGGGGCCGTTGCCGCTCTGCAAGCCCTCCGAGGCACGAAGCTTGGAGAACATGGCCAGTGCATCAGGAAAGTTGGGCGGCGTGGCAGGTGTGTTGCTGGGGGTGCACATCTGCTGGAAGAGAACACAGGTGTGGGGAGGGTTACCGGCACACTCCCCGCCCCCAACGTGGAGCCACGCCCCCTGGGCCCGGAGCCTTCTGGTGGCGCTCCCCCAAGGCCAGCCCCTCCCCCCAAGGCCAGCCCCTCCGTTATTCCCATTTTCCAGTCCGCGAGGAGCTTCTACAGGAAAAAGGCACCCTTTCCACCCTGAGCCAGTCGATACACACAAACCCCAACGATTTTCATCAGAACCAAAGAGAGTTTCATGATGCCAGGAAGCGACATCCCGAGGAGCGTCAGAAGTAAAGGGTTAACTCCAACCAGAAGCTAGGGTGTCAGATTCAAGTGAGGACAAGAGAGCAGCCCGGGACACCATTGCTTAGCGCCTCAGCCTGGGTAAGAAACCAGCTGGCTCCCTCAATAATCCGCCCTCAGATGTTCTGAGGTTGTTGGTCAAAGGAAGGCGGCCAGACCCAGGGTCTCCCTCCGATGCCCAGAAGCTACACTTTCTCAGTGTCTGGGTTCGTTCGGCATTAACAGCACCAGCCAGCAGGCCCTGGACACTTTGTTATCCCACTTCTCACGACGCCAGGGCACAGATGGGGAAACTGAGGCCCGGAGCTCAAGTCAAGTGACCAAGGCACATCCACCGCGGCAGACTACCCGCTGAGAAGATGGGATTCCCAGGCTCGAATTCCTGGGGGTGGGGGTAGGGGTGGGGTCCCAGATCTTCCTGGCCCCAGCTCTTAATCTCTACCCAACCCTGAGTCATCTGCACTTAAGAGTTAAGTACAACTTCATGCCTCGGCTCCCGGAGGACGAAAACCAGGGAGGGATTTGGGTTTCCTGTGTCCCCAGCATCTCTCCCATGATGTGGCAGCCAGAGGCTGCCAGAAGTCTCGGCCTGTTCTGTCCCTCAGCCCGCCTGCTGGGGGTACCTTTAACAAACACCGCAAAACCTGCTGTCTTCTGCCACGACCCTGGGAGGGAAACTCCCCGAACTCTCCAGTATCCGCCACCCTTTCTGATCAGGGACCCCCGCCAGGAAGGGCCAAGGGCTGGGGTAGGGTGGCGGACTCTCCCCGCCTATGGGGGGGGGGGGGGTAGTGCAGCGTGGTGGGGCTGAGGGTGCCACCTAGAAGCGTCCCACAGGGGCACCCGGCCCAGGGCAGCAGAGAGCAAGGCCTTACACAAAGCCTGTTCTGACCTCACCAGCAGCTTCTCCCTTTCCGGGGAAGCCAGGAGAGTACTTCTTTGAATTTCTCCTAATTTTAGCAACACCAGCCCCTCCCCCAGGCACGGGGCTGGGGGGGCGGGGGAGACAAGATTCTAGGGTTCTTCACCTCGCAGAGGGCGCTTTCACAGCTCTGCTTTTAAATCCCAGGCAGAAATGAGGAGGGAGAAGCAGTCCTATTAACTGGGCCAGCTCCCTACCAGCAGCTAGGGAGCACCAACCATTGTCTTCCTCAGGGGCGGCCGCAGAGCTCCCAGCAGGCCCGGCCCCACCCAGACCGACCGCTTCCCTCCTCCCTTCTGTTCCCCGCCCCCCACCCCAGGGCTGACTTCTCGGCAGCAGGAAACAATGAATGGGGGGTGGGGGTAGAGGCCAATTGCATCACAGCATCGTGACTTCCCCAGTTGACCAAGCCAGCGAAGCTTGGCCTCGATGAACCACCCCGCTGCAGAGAATGGTCTGGCTCGCGGGGACCGGGCGCATCCCGTGCCCACCTGGCTGGGTGAGCTCCTGCAAGTTCCTTCACCTTTCTGAGGTTCTCTCTCTCTACTCTGGTAAACGCAGGGGTTTGGACCACATGCTCCCGAAGCCCCTGCAGCTCCTTGCTTCTAACAACTGTGGACGAAGCTTCCAGTCCTCAAGCACACCCAGTGTCCACTGCACCCTGCTTGCGATGCAGTGCCTTGCTCTTAGAGCTGCCCAAAGCCCCCCACCCCCACCCCCCGCCTTGTCTGGGAAGATGCCTATAGCTGTGGGACTGTACAGTAATTTACAGGACAATCATTTATCAGCTACCTGTGCCCTGGGTCACTTCTGGTATTATGCCACTACTGTTCTCTTTGTTGTTAAGTTTTTTTCCTTGGATTCTCTCTAAAATTAGACTCCTTGAGGGCAGGAATGGCATTCTCCACTGTGCTGATTAAGTACTCAATACAAGGCGGGCTGATGGATACCCGAGATTATAAAGTCTGTTACAAAATCTGCCGCCTGCCTTGAGGGAAGCTTTTAAGAGATTATAATCCCTGGGCGCCTGGCTGGCTCAGTTGAAAGAGCATGGGACTCCTGATCTCGGGGCTGTGAGTTCCAGCCTCACGTGGGGTACAGAGATTGAGGGAGAGGGAGGGAGAGAGGGAGATTATAATCCCTTGGGATTTGCAGAGAAGGAACTACAGGACCTAAAAGGGCCGATAGTCCCAGCTCTCCCTGTTCACTGCACCACAAAATGCTTGCTCTGGAAGCCCCTGGGCTTTCTGGAATGGCTACAGTTGGTGGAGCAAACCCCAAGGCTCTTGTGAGAGATGGGAGGCAGGGGGCTCCCAGGTCCTAGTGCAAGGTGGAAGCCAGAGCTTTCCCATGGTCACACGCAGGGGAAGGTCTCCTGGAGATGACCCCTCACCGTTTATACAAGGAACCTGGCCTTAGCTGCCACAGCCCTGCAGCCGGCACAATTCTCCCCTCATATTCCAAGACGTTTTTGTCCTTTGATTTATATACAGCATAAACCATTCCAAGTTGAGAAGCTGGTTAAAAGGTCAAGACGGACCCTTCTACTTGTCCTTTCACCTACATGAAAACAGGGCCCCAAGGATAAGACACAACACAGAACCACGTGCAGCTTCTCCAGGAAAGGGAGCAGCTGAGAAGGGAGCCATGGGCAAGGACACCAAGTGTTAAAATGCCAAAAATGTACTCCAAAAGCCACAACAGATCTCCTGGGGAATAATGTTTTACAATCCCTACTGCGGAGCCCCGTCCCTCCCCGCCCTCCCCCCCCCCCCCAACAGAGCTAATAGGTAACTAGGGGTGGGGAGGGAAAGGCATTCAAGCCTCTAAAGTGAAAGCTTCGTCCTGTGCCCCTGGAAAGCAGGACACCCCCGCTGGCCAGGAGGGCAAAGCCTCAGGCCCCGGGGGGCCGGCTTGGAAAAGAAAGCAAACCCAGACCCCAACCGCTTCTGTTTCCTGTACTTTTGTGTGTCTTTACGTACCGGGGTTAAATGCAAATTCGTGTCCTTATCTTGTCTAAATCCGTATGTCCTCCACGCTCAGGGCAAGTCCCTTTTCCAACAACAGGAAAGAGTGAACATACCTCTCCGGGTAGAGCCTAGCTCTACCCGAGCCTGGGTGGATTTATCCCTTTCCTGTTCCCTGCAGGGCTGGGTTGTTTGGCTGGGGTGTGGGGCGGGGGGGAGCTCTCCGCAAACACAGACACCCCAGCTCCCAGCCCCCTCAGGGTCCTTCACCCGGGCTCCCAGTTTTCCCAGACGACCCGTTACCATCCCATCCGAGCCCCCGCCCCATCCCCCGGCCATCCCGGCCCCCGGCCCCCGGCCCCGGGGAGCGCTCCCGGCCCAGGCCCGAGGTCGAGGTACAGTCGCCTGGGAGGCCGGCCCACGAAGTTGGGCGAGCCAGCCGGCCCCGGGAGCCGCTCTTTCCTGGAAGACATTTTGGCTCTTTGTTTACATCGCGGCGCGGCGCTCCCCGGCAACATGGCTGTCACCGCCCGCGGCTGACAGCGGCCCCCGGCCCGCGCCCTCGGCTCCGGGTGAGCTGCGGGCCGGGGTGCGCGCCCGCGCCGCGCCCGCCCGCCGGCACCCGGCCCCGCTTACCATCTGGTGGTGGTGGTGGCCGTTGGGAATGTTGGTTTCTTGGAAAAACGTGCTCAGGGCGGTCTGCGGACAAACACAGCGGCAGGGCGGCGGTTAACGGGAACGGGGGCGGGAAGCCACCCCCCCCCCACCATCGGCCCCCGGCCGACCCGTCGGCCCCGCGGGCAGGGCCCCTGCGCGCCGCCCCCGGCCCCGGGCCCCGCGCCCCACGCGACACCTCCCGGCCGCGGATCGCCTGACGGGGCGACACAAATAGAGCGCCCCCTCTCCGGCGCCGCGCGCCCCGGGCCTCGACCCGCGCGCACCTCGAACTGCCAGTGGGCCGCCTGCAGCAGCTGCTTCGCCTGGTCGGCCGCGCA